CTCGCTGCGCCACTGCGCTCTTCCGGCTGTCTGCAAGCGAGACGGTGGGTGCGACAGCGGGCATGTGAGGTAGGGCGGCGGGGGAACAAAAGATTACACTGGTCGTTCCCCTTTTGGTATTGATTCACTTTATCGCGTAAAATCCCGTAAACAAAAACGCTGACTGGAGAAGAAAAAATATTGAAGTGTCTTAAATTTCAACTGCGATTACCGTTTTTGAAAGTCATATCAAAATACATTGCAGGTTGTTTTTGTTTGATTAGAGGTGCGTGCACAAAGTGGGACATCGTAAAATATAGGCCAAAATCTGTATGCCGGATTTAGTCCGGCTCCAATGCTTTTTTCTTCTTTTTTTTTCTGTTTCAATGATCACAGATGTTCAAAAAACGGTAAGCATACATGTTACTGAGAAGGTTTTGGAGCCTTGAGTAGTATGAAAAGGTTCAAAAATATTATTTTTTTATTACTGGGCGCACGTATTAGTTTCAAGCAAAACAAGTTGCTGACAAGACACCAGTTTTTTGTTTACGAATTCCTAGTCTTAATAAGGTGGGATGAACATTAATCGAAAGAATATTTGCAGAGGACATTGTCAGACACAAAAGATTAATAGTCGGCGTGGAAGTTCAACTGCACTATACAAGAAGATCGGGATGAAGGAGGCACCCCTCAAAAGTATGCGTGGTTAACGGCGTCAAACAGTGTGTCGGAACCGTAGCATCAAGCTTTGTTCCAATCTGCAGAAGTCCAGTTAAGGGGGTCCTGAGGTGCAGTAAAACTTGCAAAATAATTTAATACCGCGTCATTCTCCCCTGACCCGCGACCACGGCTCTCATCCTGTCTGGTAAGAAATCATAGAGCGCGGCCACGAAGTCTGGCTCACCCTGAGTCCACTCCCATTTACCTCCCATTGCTTTCCACAGTTTGTAAGCAGTGGCACGGTGGAGGGGACGCCGTGACATAGCTACCTTGATGCGCCTCCAAATGTTTTCGATGATATTCAGATCGGCTCCGTTTAGGGGCCAAGGCAGCTTCGTCAGGCAGCGCTCCTCGAGGAGATACGAGCGTGACAGCGCATTTTCCACTTCGGCGCTTTCTTGAAATGCACTGAAATGCATGTTAGCTGAAAACGTGAACATTGGGCTAGCAGACGGCCGGAAGAGCGCAGTGGCGCAGTGAGCGCAAGTGATAATTTATCTCGGCCTCAGGGTGCGCTGTGTTTCGGGAGTGATGCGACAGGCGGCGCAGGTAGTACCGTGCACAGGCCGGAGCGCTGTTTCAGCTCATATTGTCCGCGATAGTACATTATAATAACTATGTTTCGAGGATAGCGAAACATTGACTGCGTTCCAATCTTACTCAACAGTTGCTCCCGTGGCTTGTGTGGCGCGGTAACGAGGACAAAGCAACGCCGGACGCCAATAGGTTTTCAAACGATAGGTTACTAAACCTCGTCGTTTGGACCAAAAATTTATCAAATTTTGGAACGCGGCCCTAATGGTGCGACACCGTGCAGCAAACAAAAACCAAGCAACGGCTTTGGTGGCAGGCACTACGAAGCATATCAGCGTGCTTCGTAGCACACTGACGAGTGGCGACAGGTTCGGCACTCCAAAGGGAAAGAATGCCGAGTACCTTACAAAGAAAGCTCAAGACATTTCACAACTGTAGCAAATTTAGGACTTGGAGGGGCATATAGAGTGAACTGACTCGAGAGAACTTCAACGGACCCAAGGAAATAGTTCACTTAACTAAATATATTCACTAGAATGTGGAACAGCATAAAGCAGTGTGAAATGCAACTTAGGGAGTTGTGTACATCGATATATACAAAGTGCAGAACAGTTACGTCGCTGCCTTTCTCGCTATGAAAAAAAGTGCAATTTTCAATTGCATCGGCGCTCTTAAGGGGGTTTTGCAAGGACTTTATTACTGGTTTTTAATTTGCACTGAATGTAGTAACTTCATAAATCTTTTCTCGAATTTTGCTTTATTTTAAGAGTTATAGGCAAATTAAACTTACAAAAACAAGCAAAAGAAAGCCAATTACAACTCCCTGTAACGCCGAATTAGAGCGCTGCTCCTGAGGAGGGAAGGGTACTGAGGGGAAGGTATACCCCTCCTCCTTCTCCTCCTCCTCACCTCATTCTTCGACCTCCTCTGGGGGGGGCAGGGTGACGTGACCGTGGGGGGATGGGTCATGTGACCTTGGGGGGGGGGTCACGTCACCCCCCTCCCCGAGGTTACCGAAGGAACCCGAGGTTCTCCCGAGGTCTTCAGGAGGACCTCGGGGGGGGGGGGGGGGGGGGTCACGTGAATCCCCCTTCCCGAGGTCACCGAAGGAACCCGAGGTTCTCCCGAAGGAACCCGAGGTTCTCCAGAGGTCCTCCCAAACGAGCCCGAGGTCCTCCCGAGGGAACCCGAGGTCCTCCCGAAGGAACCCGAGGTTCTCCGGAGGTCCTCCCAAACGAGCCCGAGGTCCTCCCGAAGGAGCCCAAGGTCCTCCCGAAGGAGGCCGAGGTCCCTCCGAGGTCCTCCCGAAGGAACCCGAGGTTCTCCCGAGGTCCTCCCGAACAAGCCCGAGGTCCTCCCGAAGGAACCCGAGGTCCTCTCGAAGGAACCCGAGGTCCTCCCGAAGGAACCCGAGGTTCTCCGGAGGTCCTCCCAAAGGAGCCCGAGGTCCTCCCGAAGGAGCCCGAAGTCCTCCCGCAGGAACCCGAGGTCCTCCCGAAGGAACCAGAGGTCCTCCCGAAGGAACCCGAGGTTCTCCGGAGGTCCTCCCAAAGGAGCCCATAATGCACCGCGCGGTTACGTCGACGGCGACGCCGCTCAAGCCGGAAACGGGCGCCTAAGAGCTGCACTCTAATGACCTCCTTCATGACGTCATTAGTCGCTTGAGTGGTCGTGAACTAGAGGGTTAGTGAGCTCAGCGAGCGCTCACGGCTGCCGCACTCCGTGTCAACGGCTCGAGAGGGCGCCACTAAAGCACGTTTTGGATAGGCTGTGTAAAGTGGGCAGCCAGGGCGGCTCGCATTGCATTTGCTGCACGAATAAACACTAATTTGGCATGACACTTCATTGGCCACAAATGACAGCAAACACGGGGTAAAGATCAGTTCAGAACGGGAGGCACTTCACACTGCCACCAAACCACAAGCCATACCTGCTTGTTAAAGGCCTTCGGAACGCTCGGAACCGTTGGATTTCTCGAGCCAGTATACGTCCGCAGCGCCGCCACATACATCCGGGACTTTTCTACGCTCGCCACTCGTCGGTGCCTGATCCCACCACCCCTTTCTAGTATGCGCCGCCTTTTCCACCGCTTGCTTCCATACTTTATAACCTGCATTTGTTTCGTTTCTGATCTAAAATACTGAAAAACTACTTACATGATTAATTGAAACGGTTTGTGCCACTTATATTTTTTGTATTTTGACTAAAAAGATTTTAGCGGCCACATATCGCACGCTTCTGGCATCGCGGGTCGCCCCCGTAGGTGGAGGTTTGTGTTGTCCAGTTAAAATATGACGCGCTGACATTTAGTTACTCCCCCCGTGCTCGCTGGCTTGCCCGAACCCCAAGAGATGTGGAAACTGCAAAGAATGTAGACGCTTAAATATGATTGCAGGGCCCCTTTAAAGCGCATGAAGTAACAAAGCTACCCAGAGAGTCTATGTTTTTTTGCACTTCCTCTGGCAGAACTTGTTGCTGCGACAAAGCCATACCGCAACGGCATCGTCTACTGGCTCTAAATATCCTGTGGAGAGTCGTTTCCCCTTCAAGCTTCGACTTTGCTTCACCATCGTCGACAACGATGCCAGCAGAATTCCATAGTCTTTTGCAAGGTCCACTTGCCTTTGACCGTTGTCCAGGTGCTGAAGGATTTTGAGCCTGTCTGACAGAGACAACCGCTTCCGTTTTGTCGTACTTGTCTTGTTAAGTGGGTGCACAAACTGCCATCCTGCCGATGTTACCCAGAACTAAGATGATCGAACGGAACCGACGACAAAGAAAGAACAGACGCACCACATGGTTCGTTTTCGTCTACTGCACCGCTGCTTTGCCTTGGGGGTGCTGTAAACGCCAGCGATGATGCATCGATGGTGGGCATCGGCTACGCCAACACTGCAGAGCACTAAACCTAGTTGAACTAATTACAAAAACAATCCTGGGTCTACTGATCAAGTTCGTTGAACTGATCAGTAGACCCAGGATTCCAAAATTCTTTCTTCGTTTAACTGAAACATTTTTCCATAGAATGCATAGGAAAACCGCCGGGGATCTTTTTAAAGTTTGTTTTTCTTAAATATTTGTAAAACCTATGTTCGCTCAAGCGAGTGTTTACTGTAGTATGTAAGAAAGATTAGACTGATAAAAATCTGTATTGATTTGCAGGACAACAGAGCTTCCTATTTGATACGTGTATAGACCCTTTTCAAAATTCAGTGCCATCTGGTGCCTCAGAAAGCAGTTTCACTTTTGACAAACTAATGGCGACCAAGGAAACTACTACGCCGGGCAACTTTAGTTTTGCCCATCAGTGGCAGATGGGAATTGGTTGTTTGATAAACTCGTAAATCTTGATTTGTTTCAGTTGAGCTGGTGTGAACATAAGAACTAACCAGTATGAAGCAGCGACCCTTAAAACCTTTGATAAAATTTCTGCCATCGAAAGGCTGTAGAGTCAAAATGGTGCCAAGAGATTGATTGGACCATACTTGAAATATGTTTAAGCAGCCGCTGTATCTAATGCGTGTGTCGTGTTGTACCGACGTTTCGAAAGCACAGGCCTCGTATATATATACTCGTATATGTTCTGCTCAACTTCTCCCTTCATGAGCCTCAAGAAGGCCGCCATTAACTTGGCACAAATGCCATACACTGAGATGATGATAGTGATAGAAGCGGCAAGACTGAATTTCGAAAAGGGTCCATTGGTCATCGCATAGTTTAAGCTTCCGATGTCTACATCCACTTTTCAGTCAGACCAGACACTTGACTGTATTAAAACGCCGCTTTATTTAAAACCGGGTCATCATTCAGCACCAAACACGTCCCGACACTCCGGGCAGAAATGTAACCAAATGCGCAGCCAAGAGAAATTCATTCGGGGTCGGTCTCGATGCAACACATTCACTCTTCCATTGCGTGGTACGCTCGCATAGTTATCGCCCGTTATCACGCGCCGACCAGCGGCCAAAGTAGGCGGAACACTCGGCTAAACCCAGTCACGATCGCAAGCTTAAGGAAAACGCGTGCAACGTGTTCGTCGTGCACGCTTTGTTCACGACGGGGCGAATTCAAAGGGCAACGGCACGTTGGCGCGTACGCAAAACTTGCGCCATGGTTTGTGTTAGGCGTCGACGCTTGCACAACCAGGCTTTGACCAAACGCGTATGCCCCAGACTCCAACGACTCTTCAAAACATTGACACCGGCGCCATGTTAAGCGGCAAGTTGGGCTTCTGATACGCATCAACGTGCTGCAGCCTAGAAAAAAAATGTCCAGTACAGAGGTTTACGTCCACTGGATTAACAACGCCCGTGTGGTCTCGTAGCCTTGTTTGAGAGTGTGATTGGCGGCCGTCTTGTCACTGGACGATCGAGGAAATGGTTTTCCCGCGTCTTCTGGTGCATCACTATGACGTTTGCCACTCCGTAAAAATTCCACGTGCGAGTTGTTTCAGCACCAGTGCCACCCATTCCTTCAAATCTTCTGCAAACAAACTTTTCGAGCCACGCGCAACAAAAAAGAGACGACGAAAGTGCAAAAATACTTTTGCGGGCAAAATAGACAACCTCTTCGGCAAAACGGCGAGGCGAGGCTGGTCGCACGTGACGATTGCATGGATGGAATGGGAGTCGCTCGCTCCGACTAAAAGCGCGCTCTAAAACAATCCCGGCCCTATGAAAAGCTCTATACATATGTACAAGACGCAGCCGATTATGGGGAGGCCAGTATTACCTCTAGTAGGATGCTTTCCAGGCCCGATCACACATACATCGCAGCTCTAAATTAACGCTAGATGCAGCGCCGACTCAAACACAACTTGGCAAAGATGCCAAGTTACGTTCGATTCTTCGCTTTTCTTCCCGCAGGCAATCGGTTTGTAGCCGGTGAAAGCAGACGCAGAAAGGCGCCGAGCACCGTGACTAGCACTTTTGGCGTGGCCCAACTGGCTCCGTCGAATTTCAGCCCCAGCTGCACTTGGACCCAGTGTGAAACGAAGCGTAGTGGTACCGAAGTAGAGCCGCGGTGTACCGTGAACGGGCCTTTGACGCCGAGAGAGGGGGCACTAGATTGCTTCTCGAGTTCATAAAATGGTGGTAGCTTTGCCTAGTCCCGAGGGATTTCTACGTACTATGTACCATCTACGCTAGACGAAACCTACGAAGCTGGCAGTCGACTCGTCGGCCGATCGGGGAGCCTAACCGCGTGTTCCGTCCCTTCGTGAAGTGTGTCCTTATCAAAAGGAAAATATTTGGCAATTAGGTAAGTTGCAAACGGCTGAAAACAACGACCCTGGTCGAACGCGACAGAGTAGATTGCATAGTTCGACCTCGGGCAGAGGATGACCGAAACACCCGGTAAACGTTAACACGCAACTAACGGAGTTCGGATTTTGAGGCAAGGGAGTAAATACCCGAATGGAAAACGTCTCCGATGCGACAAAGGGAATGCCGTCTGGTAACAACAGTCGTATCTCGATTTACCTACAGGCAGTCAATGTCGCGCGGTGAAAACAAATCCCGCACGACAAAGTTTCGGACAAACGGAGCAAAACAAAAGCGACCTCGGCGACACGTTAATGCCGTTCACCGGTTGCTCGCATAGGCATGTTCGCCGATCCAACACGGCGCTACATTAGCGCTATTACAGTCGGCAGTGGGAATGGCACCGACCTCGCCAACTTAGTGCCGGCGGGGCATGACATCGGCGCCAAGTTACGTTCGAGTCGGCACTGCACAAGTGCCGTTCACAAGTATTGTTGCGACATACTCACGAACCGGCCGTTCAAACTAAAGCATTCCGTAGCCTAGCCTAGTCGGCACTCGACAGAAGACGGTTCTCGTTTAGGGTGCGCACGTCGGACGCCAAGTCGGTTGCCACGTAAAACCGGGCCTCGAATCGTGGAGATTGTCCTCCGCGCTCCGGCGGTGCTATGTACAGCGGGGGATATTAGCAGACTAGTCCGATATTTACAACGACGAGGACGACAAGGAGCGGGCGGCGCGACTCGACGCCAAGGGCGCCCGATCCGGAGGGGAGGTCAGACGGTGATGTCCCCGAACTCCCGGTTCCAGCGATCGAAGAAGTCCAGGCTCTGGGGCGTCACGCTCCGGCGGACCTTCTTGAGGGAGTCCAAGAAGTCCTGGAGGCTGATGTTGCGCATCTGCATGCAATGCGGAAACGAAACTGCGGTCGACTGCCGAGGCTGGTTTGCGCAGTTGCGTTTTCAATAAAGGCCGATAAACTCTGAAAATTAACTCCCGAACAAACCGCTAGGCAAAACTGTTTTCAAATCCCTTCGGTGGAGTTGGAGCGATCCAAGACCACTCCGTGCTCGCACCTTAAGTGCAGTAGGTGCGGGCGTACACCTGCACACCCGTGAAGGTACCGGCAAAAAGTGCTCCAAAATCGCTCCGTATCCACCGAGGGAATTGCTCGTCCAACATTTTCGCTTTGCCCGCAGCTCTCGCGACCTTACTCGTACCAAGCTACTAGTGACGCAAACACGTTCGGAAAAGAAACTTTACTTGACTGCATTCGCAGGCTGTTCCAACCCGCAGTGCAATAGAGACTTCCCACATTTACGAGCCAAATTCGCAGCAATCGTTCCTCCTCCCCAAAAAGAAAATTCCGAACTACGCCACTGTACCTGACTGACACCTGTACAAATACCGTATAGGCTTATGTAGGGAACAGACCATTTGCAATATTCCCAAGCGCCCCGCTCCGCACTTGAGAAATCATAGGAACAGTATTCCTTCAGCTCCCTAGTGATCGCCAATTTTGGCAATCACTAGGAAGCTGAATTACGCTCGGAAACACAGTTTTCGAGCGTAATTCGCAGTCATCCTGAATAAGCGCCTGATATACCCCAAGGGCCTGTCATATCACTTTTAAAATTTCTCGTCGATGTCAGCATTTTTTTCGCACTTTCCATAAAATCCTACTTTCAACCTGGCTGAGCCGTATAAATCTCTTACAATATTGTCATTCTCGCGATTGTTGTTTTAGCAGGAATTGCTTAAAAAGCCAAGAATTCACAACAACCAAAACCGGGAACTAGCTCGGAGTCAGCGACGCTGTTTATAGCATTTTTAGCATTTCTAACTTAATATCAGCGTCTTTGAAGCTGTACGAGAATCATAATAATGCGAAAGATTTCTGCGGCTCAGCCAGGTTGAAGGGTGGACAGCATGCACAGTATCAAAAACGCTGTCATTGAGGAGAAATTTTAAAAGCGATATGACGGGTCATTGGGGTATATCAGGCACTTGTTCAGGGTGGCTCCGAATTACGCTCAGAATCTGCGTAACCAAGGATAGGGATGAAATTACCGATCACTAAAGAGGTGGAGGAACACTGTTCCCATGATTCTTTTAGCGTGGGCCGGGGCGCTTGAGGGGTATAGCAAGTGGTTTAGTACATATGTAAGTAATGACTGAATGAACGCCAGTTGACTGACCGAAGAAATTGCAAGAGCAACATTAAAGAGCGAAGATGCCACTCACCTTCTTGGGATCCACACAGCGAACTTGTTCAGGATTCAGCTCTGCACAGAGTGGGTATGGTGGTCAGAAGAGACGGGCCCCGCAAACAAAATAGGGAAAAGAGCGGTCAGAAATCCGGCCCCCTTTTGGGCACGAAGGAGGCTGCCCACCTCGTATGGGACCCAGGGCGGCATCCTTCGCCAGTGCCGTCAGGTCGCTCCCAGAGTAGCCCTCCGTGAGCCTGCAAAGTTTATAACGGGCATAATTACAACACTATACTAATTTCAAAATGCAAAAAAAAACAAAAAAATGATGGTTTTCGTTGTGCCCTGCAAGTAAAGCGACAACCAGAGCACTGGACGCTGCTGTATACGGGTAAACTGCTGCATTCAAAGGAGCTGTGCAACAGTTTCAGTGCTATGCTTAAATAATTTGGGAGTTGGTGTCTCAACCTTTCTGAATTGTAAAGAACGAAAAAAACACTTTTGCTTGCATGTCCCAGTTTTTATTTTAAAAATGGACAAAGATTGAGGTTATCGGCACCTCTCAACTCCTTCAACATCTTCCGAGTCACGTGTGCTGTGATGTCAATGGAGGTTGCGCGGGGTTCCGGTGAAGCTCTCTCTCTCGAGTCATCAGTGAGCTGCGAGAACTCATCCGCTCGCGACCGCGTGACCACATGCTGGTGGGCGCAGAGCAAACAATATGGCGAAAGAGGAAAAGTCTCATCCGGGTCCGGCCATAAACGTCCGGTTTTGTCCCCCACCCCCTCCGGCTTCTGGCGGCTGTTCGTAGTAGCAGATAGAGCAGACGGTTTTGTGGACCTAGGATAGATGGCGCCACTAAAACTCCTTATAATAAAAGTTTTGTCGATGATACCAGGTTTTTGACGCATTTATATTTATGTTGGAACGACAAGATTTATAAAAAAATGTTACCTTTTATCGAGCAGGTATTTGCACAACTTGCCCCCCCATTGACGTCATGCCGCATGTTTTTGGTGGCCGCCGCTCGCGGCTGCAGGTCGGAAAATTTTCGAATTTTTGCCTCGCGATTATGCCGCTGAATTTCAACATTTTGAAGGAAGGAGGTGTGTTTTCTGTCCTTCGTGACAAGATGAACAATGTCCAATGTAGAAAATGCTAATTCTTTCAACAATAAAAATCGTTGCACAGCTCCTTTAAGGGAAAACACCGGTCTTGGAGCTTTGTTTCTTATTTTATGACCAAACCCAACGAAACTTCACAAGCTTGTTAAGCTTCCTTTGCTCACTTCATAAGTGCGGTCATTTTCTCAGCCAGGAGAATTGTTTTCAAGATAATTAAAACTTGCCTGCCTTTGTTTGGAGGAACAATAGGGTAAAAATAGCTCAACAAAATATTCTTTTTAAAACATGGCTTGAAGTGTAGAGAATACAATGCTGGAAGTACTTTTAAGATAAACCCATTACTAGTGATTTTGCCACACAGTGAAGTTCAATGCTCAATGAATGGCTAACAAGTAATGAAACAAAAAATCAAATAGAAAGTTTTGTAGACTTTTATTAACCCTTTGCGGTCAGATACTCTGACCAACTTAATGGTCATTCCGGTCAGGAACTATTTTAGACGCATGGGCCCCGGAAAAAATTAAAATTATTTTGCCGTACAAAGGTAACGTCTCACACTCAACGTAAGGACAGGAAAGTCCGGGAGATTGTTTGTGCACAAACTCCGGAACAATGTTTGTGGCGGAGCGGCTCTGCGGCCGCTGTCTTGCGCACTCGTATCATATTCAGCACTACTTTCCCTCAAGTGAGAGAGATCGCCTCTCCATCATCTGATGGAAGGATATAGTCATCCTCTTCACTGAAATCGTCGTCACTTTCAGTTATATCATGCAGAGAGTTACATAAAACGAGCGTGGCCGGAATGTGGCTATAACCGTTGTGCCAGCGAAGTTGAAATTTGCGCACTCCTCCGTTGCGCAAAAAAACATATGACATAGAACATGTCTTTTTTTTTTCATGGCTAGTCCTGCCCTTTATGAGAAGAAACTCGAACCTTTTCAAAAGTGATGTGATTAAAGTGTTTTCCAAGAGATGGCGCCACCAATCCAGCAAAAAGAGCGAAGGAGCATGTTTAAAAGAATGTGGGAACGCATGTCGGACGACGCCCGACTCATGATTGGAAGCACGTTTCTCCGATGTCGTGCCTGGCCCGACACACGACCGCAAAGGGTTAAGAAATCTGCCCTGAACATTGTATGCCCCAGACATTTAGCTACATATTTTAGGAAAGATTATATATCTATCCACTCTAGATACCGAGATTCCCTCCTGCAAATTTTACAGTCCCAGAATAGTGTTTTGGGAAAACAATGTTTTAGAGTCAACTTCAATGCACACTCGGCCCATATAGACATCATAAATTGATTTATAGCTCAAATATTCATTCACAAAATTAGAAGCCTGGTGGATTCAGAAGAACAACAGCTGTACAAGTCAACATCGCCATTCTCAAAAGAATGCATCCCCCTTAAATTTAGCAGTCTCCCTTCCCGCTAAATTTAGCAGACGGGGCTGATGCGACGTCGCACGACGGCACGATGCCACACGATATGGTCGTGTCACGTGCCACCGAATTCTCGCTACACATACTGTAAAAATTTCCCCCCTAAATTCAGTGGGCAAATTGCGACGTCACAGTGCCGTGCAACACAGTAATCTTGGCTAACATTGGCGGATTACTTTTCCCGCAAATTTAGTGGGCCACAAGGGACGCACCCCCGGATCTGCCTCGAAGCCCCACAGAAGGGAATTCTCGGCGGGCCGTTCCGACAACGGCGCTCCGTGCCCCGCCGAATTGTGACGCCAGAGGGCGGTGCTCGGCACCCACCTGGCAAGGTACTTGAGCTTGTCGGCACTCAGGGGGTTGTTGTGCTTCTTGAGCAGCTTCTCCAGCAGGATTACCCTCGTGTTGTGGTCGGGCAGTGTCACGTAGACGCGCTTCGTGAAGCGCCTGCAAGCGGTCGACGCAAGTCACCCCTCGGCCCGACCCATAGAGTCGCCCGGAACGCGCCATCCACCAGCACGTTTAGCCTCCTGTCCTGTCCGCGCGTTAAAGCTGGCCCCGAAGTGGCAATAAACAATGTCCTAAAGCTCGGTGCGTCGCACCGGATGTCTACAATCCTCCGTAGGAAATTGCGTAGGTGTTTATTGCAAAGCAAAAATTCCGTCTGTCTAGCCGTATCCGAACCAGCGACCTATAGGCGACGACAATCGTTTCTGCAAGAATCAGCCGCAGAAACGCGGCTAACTCTTGCAGCGACAACGACAACCCGGGCACAATGCCGACTTTGGCGTGGACTGCAAACTAAGGTAAAGTGGGAACGTCAAAATTTGCGTCAATTTCAGCAACCTCGAACGGAAACCTTCCGAACGATTTGGCACTCTTATCGGTGACAAACGACGAAGCCCGGAACGTCCGCCTCACCTGAGGGCGGCGTCATCCAGCTCCTGCGGACGGTTTGTGGCACCCATCACCAGGACCCTCTCCTCGCTGCCCGTGTGAAGCTGCAAGACCAAGAAAAAGGCTCGAATCGTCGCTGGCGACTCCATCGAATCGTCGGTGCACGCACCCGTCCGCATTTTACGTGCCCGGTGCAACACTGTTCGCAGAGAGAAGCGATCGCCGGCTGTTAATGCAGGTCGCATCTTAATGGCATCGCAACGCCATACCGTCGTCGCCTAATTTGGTGGACTCGCTACTTCCCGCTAAATTTAGTGGAACGCCACTAGGGGTCACCTGGTCACGCAATGTGGTGGCGTCATCACATGACCTCGCAGCGTCACGTGACTTGCGACGCGAAGTTGTGGTGTCACATGACCATGTTGCCATGCCCCGCGACTATGACGAAATGTCCCATTTCCGATAAGATCGACCAGCCACCCTTTGGTCGATCTTATCAGAAATCACCCAGCTTCACTGGTCCTACACCTTCACGTGAAGTGGAAGGGCTCTACAATTTTTTTCTTTAATCAACGTATTTGCAGCTTTTTAGAAGCCGCAATAAAAGGGGTATTGTATTTTTTTAATATTGAGTGTGTGCCTTCAATGACAGACGACTTTGATTATATTTGGTGGTTGTGTCTAAACTATAGAGAATGGAACCTGACAACGCAGAAGAGAGTGAGAGCGACTCGAACCGGTCAGTTATCGATCGGTGGCTTTCATGGGGAAAGAGAATGAATTTCAAGCTGCAAATCGTGTTGTGGGTAGTAGGGCTCTCGCATGTCACGTACAAATAAAAACCTTGGCAAGCATAAATACCCTGTCAGTGTCCCATTGAATGCAATGACATTAGTTTGTGTACGGTGTCGGTGGAAAATTCCAAAGCTTTGTTATACTTCTTTCTTGCCATGCGACAGTTGTTATTCCACCAGGGTTTCGGTTTCTTGGGAAGGTGTGTTGATGTCATCGGTATGGCAATGACTAATGCTTCTAAGATACGCTCGGTAATATGCTCAGTTATGCAATCGACGGAAAAGCGACTGATTAATTGATTCATCCTAGCCGGGCCTTACCACGACACCCGTCTGCGAGGAGCGGGGGCCAAACCGGCGTGTTGCCTCGACCCTGGGGCCCAAAGGTCCAAACCTACCCCGGGCTCGGCTCAACCACCAGGATGCCCTTCACCTCGGACATATGCCACGCACAGCCAGGCGTGGGTGGGCAAACGCACACGGCCCAAAGTCAAACACCCACTAACGCAAGTGCCCCCTGCGGGGTGGTGCTGCACGACCTGTGTGTACGCGTACTAAGGCGTTCGAAGAATAGCATCACCGTCGGCCCTCAGGAATGAGCTGCATCAGATCGCACTCACCCCGTCGAACTCGACAAGGAACTCCGTCTTGAGCCTCCGTGTGGCCTCGTGCTCATTGTCTTTCCTCTCACTCAGCAGGGAGTCAACCTCGTCTGAGAGAAGAAATATGTTCATTAAGAAAAACACGGCGGTGACCCTTTAAACCTGAGCGTCCACTTCTGCAGCGACCATCGTTGCACAAGCGGAAGGCAACCACAGGTGATACAATGAGCATAAAAAAGGGCGGCTTCCCAAAGCTTCGCTCCCGTAATCTTTGTTATCTCCACTTCATTACACGGCAAAAAGCGCGAGCAGAGGCTCGCACGGGGGAGGGGGGAAGATGGCAAAGACATGGAGCGTACTCCATGCCGCAAGAGGCGATCGGAGTGCCTCGGGAAAAAGGGGGGGGAAGAAAAGGGGGGAGGGGGGGGGTGCAACTAATACCGAATTTACTTGCATAATCAACGCACCCCCCACAACGAGCATGAATATTTTGACTTTTTTTTTTCTTTTTCCTCCCGTAATCAACGCTCCTCCAATTTTTGGATCCGCGAGTCTCGAATTGCGTCCAATTTAACGAGCCACCAAGCAAGTTTTCTTTTACCGCCAAGCAATCAGGCCAAGTCAAGCCAAGACAAGCCCCTCTCGTAATGGCCGCAAGTGCGTAGTTGCGGTAGTTATGGAAGTGATCAACCGTGAAACCGAGTGACGCACACACTTGCGGAGATGCGCTCCGATCAGAAACCGAAACCTTACAAACGTGTCCAAATTTACCGATTTTTCGAAATGTCGTAAGATGCTGCGAGTGCCTTATATCATTGGAACACGGGTGAAGTTATTAGTCCTGGATGGTCCGCACCAAGTTTCTGATTACGAATGTACCAATAAAGTTAAAAATTTAATTACTTAAAAGTAATTAATTACCCAACCAAACCAAACAGAAATAATTTTCTGTAATGGGTCCTTTGGCACAGACCACTATGGCAACGACCTTTGTTCTATCGGATGCATAGTTATCGCAGAAGCGATTCGGCCCGCATTTCCAAAAGCACCCCATATAACCGGGTTCGACCGTACGTTCCTCCAGTTTCAGACTGAGCCCTTTAGAACACGCCTGAAGATCGCCAAAAGAGACTTGCCTATGAAGATGATGCTGGGCTGCAATTCCCTCGCCACTGCAAACAAGGCTCGCACAAGTTTTTCACCCTCCCCCACCTGGAATCAAAACACAACCATGAGCAACACCAGCAAAGTAATGCAATAATGTAAAATTTCAAAATAACTCTCAAAGAATAATGACAGTATTCTTTGGCCTATAAGTTGAGCTTCTTTGTGCAGTTACTGCAGCGGAGGTGCACCGATGAGCCCGCATGTAATAATAGTTTATTGTTCTTGCATTTTTTCAATTATTGTTGAAATTTTTTAAAAATTTCCAATTAGGAAATGGAGCTTGTTCCAGCCGATGCAATTCATGTCCGTGCATTTGTGGATTCGGTTGGCTGCCATTTTCTTACTGAAAACTTCTGAAAATCCCTGACAAACTTTTAATAGGATAACAGCAAGCTCTGAAACATTGGCGTCTGGTCCGAGCTGGTAACACCACATTTAACCGGAGACTGAATGGTTGCTAATGATACATAATTTATTTTTGTGGTAAAAAAAGATGCTAGTTATTCTTAAAAGACACACGCAAAGGAAAAAAAACATTTTTTTTAAACACCTTAGATGGAAAAAGGATATCGTAAAACAATTTTACAACAAAGAAAAATATTTTTAGAGCTATATTTACGGTGCTATACGAATTTGTAGTTGGCGCCGTGAGAGCCGCCGCTGGTCACGTGGTAGGCCCACGCGCCGTCGCACGCTGAGCGTTGTGCGAACGCCGCTTCAACACGTTTCTCCACGCCGCTGTCGCCGCCGCCGCACAAGTTCGTCTGCTTCCGGGCGCTGCTGCCGTCGTCTGACCGGCGCACAGGTCTATCGCGTCTGCTTGCGCTTTTTCAGGAGTTTCCTTTGGGCTCTAAAAAATACCTATTAATCTTAGTTTTTTGTTCTACTTCAAACAAAGATGAATAAGTTACTTTTAGATGCCATACGAAGCTTCCGAAAGAGCGCAAGCACCACGCGATAAATAAGGGCCACTTTTCCGCGGCGCCAGCGGGCGCCAACTACAAATTCGTATAGCGTCGTAAATATAGCTCTAAAATGTTTCTTCTTCGTTGTAATATTGTTTTATGACATCCTTTTTCCATCTAAGCTGTTAAAAAAAAATTTTTTTTTTCTCCGCATGTGTTTTTTAAGAGACAATTAAAACGACAGATGCTTTGGTTGGGGATACTTTTGCAATTAGACGACCGTCTGAAAAAAACTGCTTTTATAATTAGCCTAATAGAACACAATAATGGGACACAGTCTTTCCACGTAAAAATCGCTTGCAGTAGTCCAGACTGCGATCTGAGAAATGCAGAGAATAGGTACGTGCCAAATGGGATCATTGGGCAGCCTCATTGTAACCTCGTGATCGGAGCTAAATGTTGCAAGTAATCCAAAGACAAATCTACGCAAACAATTTTAAAGCCTCCGATTCTTTTTTTTTTTTTTTCTAATTATGCATTTTTACGAAACAATAAGTTGCCGTCTCGTTTCACACTGCTAGAGTAATTCGTTTTCTTCCACTTTTTTTTAGGACTTGCTTTCTGTAGGGGGCAGCGATAAAGGCACAATGTCTTGCAGAGCCTTATTCCCCTGCCGTTCAATGCGATAATACAGTCTAAGCTCAATACAAGAGACCTGGCTACAACGGACATTTGGATATAACATATCAATTTGTGAAGTTCTCTTGGTTTTCCTCTACACACCATTGACACAACTTACAGCATATACTCATCTTACAACAGACCGAAATCTTGGTCAAAATCAAGGTCTGTTATAACGAGCTTAGACTGTATCCACACTTCATAAAGAGGGCATGACACTCTGTAGAAGTAAAGCAAAGCAAAACAGCTGGCACCGCGTGTCAGCGAAAGCTTGACACCATGTGTCGGCGACAGATGGTGCTACCGCGAAATCCCGAGCAAGCGCCCTCCATAAATTCGCAGATAATCGTCTAAAACCGGGGATGGGCGCTCTTTAGGTCAACGATATGCAGAGATACGTCCCTCGTGCATTTTCCTAATGTTACAAAATTGAGGGATGGGTGCTTATCGTGGGTTGGGCAGAGGCTGGGTATTTTGTGGTATACAGTGCAGACCGCATATAACGTATGTCGCGGGAGTCGCGAAAATCTGCACTATAAGCGGTACCGTGCTATAACCAAAACATCGATTTTTCAGGCCAAAATACATGCCATCAGACAACTTACCTTTGTAAAACAATTTATTTTATGGTAGATAAAAAATAAAGCTCAGTTTGAGGAAAGTCTTTATTTCACCAGACTAGTACACTTCTCTCTCAAGTGTGTCACACATTTTGAAAGAAATGAGCGACTTTCGCCTGGCGCAGCCTTTTAATGGCGTTGCGGGTTGCAGACAGACGTTGCAAGCGTTCAGGATTGCTAACCCTAATCACTTTTCTCCGGAGATGAAAACGCGTGAAAATTCGCATCCTTTATACGGTACGTGCCAGTAATACCTTCAACTTGAGCACAGGCATGAAATTCTCCAAATAAGAAATCTGGGCGATGTTCGAAAACACAAATGCTTAGAAAGCACCACTGTAGTCGAAGTAAACAAACACGACGACATGGGCGTTTCTGCCATCTTGAGAGTGCCGCCACGACATCGCCGCACGAGTAGGTGGATCTTCCTTTCTAGTACGTGCTGGGTTATTCGCTCACACAACGAAAATTCACAGTCAAGGATAGCACTTTTACGCAGAACGATAAGCTACCACCACGCCGTCTACGTCGACGATTACAACCGACGCCATGTTTGTGGATAGAAGCAGCTGGCCCGCGACCAACATGCAACGCGCGCGAACACTTATCCTCGACCTGCGATTGGTCTGTCGTTGCGGTTGTTTTCCAACGCAGCAGAGGGACGCACGCACGTGAACGACACGTGCGTGCGTCCCTCCGTCACTATGGCAACTGAAGCCTCTCTCTTCGCTTGTCCCCGCTTCTTCGAGCAACCTCCTTGCCCCGCGAGTGCTGCTTGCGGCTAGCGCCGTTATCTAGTGTCGCACAGGGAAGCATGCTCGCTGCGTTGGTCGGTCAGGGCGGTCGGCGGGCTGTTCCAGAAACCGCACTATAACCGGTTTTTCCCTTCGCGCGCCTGCATTTTAAGCAGTATGTAATTACATGGAGTTGTATGGGAGGTGAACCGGTGGTTTAAAAAAGCCGCGTTATACCCGGTCCTGCACTATAAGCGGTTACGTTGAAAATGGTCTATACTCTACGTTGTTAAAAAAACATGGCTCGCAAAAGTAGCACGAAACGGCGCTCAATTCTGAAAAACAATAGTGAACCCTTAGTTATGCGACTAATTAAAAAAGACAGCACCACTCAAATTACAGTATGTACTGTCACATTCCCCCTGGACTGCACGTCGAGGTTTCAGTCTCTTCTCGTCGTATCTAGACTGCACATCGAGGTTTCTGTCTCCTCTCGTCATATCACTCGATCACTCAAACGGAGATACACCCATTCCAAAGACAGTTTGCCGCCTTACCAGTCAATCTCACAATTTCTACGACCACCGCATTGTACGAAGCCCACCCCCGTGGTCGTCGATGGACGCCGGAGAACGGAGACAGTCGGAGACCGCTGTCGCACCGTGGCGGCGAAAATCCAGGAACCGGGTCGCGGCGACGACGACAATGACCCTTCCACGCTCCCATACTTTTCAACCGGAGCTTCAATGACCGACCGACAGCTCTGCGACGTCCAACACGGCCCGACGCGCCGGCTCACCCGACGCGGTCCGCTTCGGGCCCACCTTCAACGCGAGAGCAGTAGAGGACGCTGGACGCGCCAGTTGAAGGTGCCTTCTGGGCACCGTGAGGAAATGGGGGGGAATCGTTCTTACATATTTGGAGGTGAGCGAGGCAGCGCTGATGTTGAGGAAGGTGGAGTTGGACTCATGCGCCACCGCCTTGGCCAACATCGTCTTGCCATTGCCGGGAGGCCCGAACAGCAGCAGGCCCTTGGGGGGGGCCCTCAGGCCGGTGAACAGCTGCGGAGGGACACGGGGGCGAGGGGGGCAGAGGTCAATGGCGTCGGCCACTCTCTCGTCTCGGGGAACGCCCGTCTCTTTTCGATTGCCTGCCCGTCCTGGCCCTGCCATTAATGCGATGAAGCGGAGCGGAAGCCTACGGATCTTGTAGACCAGTGGTTCTCAAATGGGGGTCTGCGAAGGCATTCCAGGGGTCCGCAAAGCCCTGCCTCATCAGTCAAACCTGGCAATCAAAGTTTTCTTGTTTGTTTTTTTCTGATTGAGAAAAAACAATTAAGTTTTCGGGTGGGTTTTCTCGTGTGTATACTCATGAGAGAAGTGTACTTCAGGTGGCCCTTAGTTACATACACTTTTTAAATCATTATCATAATTAATCTATACATTTTCCTTTCCCTCACCACGAACAGGGTCTCATCTCCGCCGATCCACAAAGGGTCCGCGAAACATCATTGATTGAGAACCACTGTCGTAGACCATAATGCATGTACTAGGGACTATTTTGCACGTTGTTAAGTGTCAGTAAATGCTGCAGAGTTTCTAAAATAATGTTTAAGCCAGAAGAATGCTTGATTCGGGGACAGGGACGGCCGAGGAGAAGCGGGAGCTCGGAAAAAACCCCGGGTTTCCGGGAACCAAGTTTGAGAACCCACGCACTAACCTCGGGTTCTGTGTCTTCTAATCATATACTGATAAACCCCAAAAAATAGCACCCAAACCGGTTTAATCAAAATCGGGCAGAACCAAATCGCCCTGGCTCTAAACAGGTCTTCCAACAAAAAAGTGGAAGCCGTTTACAACTCACTGTAACGCCGAATTACAGTGCAGCTCTTAGGAGGAGGAGGGAAGGGTACTGAGGGGGAGGGGTCACGTGACCGTTTCATCTCGAGTCTGACGAAGGACAAAAGTAAGTTGCGATGCAAATGCACAGACTAAAAATGCACTCTGCTCTCAACTGGATCGGGTGATGGCGGTACACGCGTAGAAAACGAAAAACACTGCAACCTAGCCCTTCCCAAAAAGTTTGATTGACTGCATTCGGTCGTAGTGTTGGTAGTGCCCGGTGTCAAGGTGAAACAAAGTAATGGCGCTCTGCGGGGAGCAGAACACGAGGTTTGAGCCTCTCGCGGCAGACTGCCCCAGCTTCCACCCTGCCATTTTGTTCTCTCCGTTTCAAGTCCGTGCGTGTTCTCTTTTCCCCCACCTCCTGCACAGCGTCCCGCCGTGTGTGCACGCGCTCGGCACCTAGAGGGCCACAACGCTGCCGTGTCATCCAGCAGAGGTCAGCGCGAGGCATGGGTTGCACACGAGTGCTCCATCAGCGACAGGGACTCTTTCCAGAGGCGAGGACACGAGCCCTGGCCAAGCGCCGAAGCAATCAAATTTCGTGCGACGCTTTTCAGTTACAGCAACTGCGTTACCAGAAACTTCTAGGAGCCAACCATCCTCGTCAGACCCCGCATACTTAATACAGCACAAACATTCTCAATGTGTCCTAGAAATACGAGAGAAGTCTAGAAGCTAAGCTAGGTCAAGTGGAAATTGCAGCACGCAACTTGAGTTGCCACCTGAAGAGAGTTTTACGGAGTATGACGAGCTAACAGGTGCCCTCTTTACCCTGAAGAATAGTGACGACACCAAGTTGTTGTTATTGTTGTTTGTCGGTTTTATGGCGCAAGAGCTATGATGGCCATACTGCGCCAAACCAAGTTAAAATCAACTAGAAAAGATGCACCGAGGAAGAATTTTTGCTATCGTAGTTTGTGTAAAATCGCTATATTTTCCAGACAACACCAAGTTCGACGTTCCACTTGCTTGATCTGAACAAGTGCCACAAGCTTTAGACTACTTTGTTAATTTTTTTATGATTGTGATTTCAAACCAACTTATAAGTTTGACGACTAGAGGAGAACTAGACACTTTCTGATGCCTGTTCAATTCTCATCTATGAAGTGTTTTTGCTATAATGTGCAACAAAATATGCATCCCCATATCAAAACCAGCAACATGCTTACAGCTGTATCTTATGACTTCCATTTATCAGAAACTCAACCACAATCACATATCTTTTTAAACTATGTGCACGCTGGGTCTGAAGAGGATACTATAACGCATTATTTGTTAAAACAATTAATGAAAGCCAATGAAGTCATCGGAAGTGGTATCTCAGCAATTAGAAATTGTTAATCATTACGAGCGGGGGTCCGTTAGTCTAGCTCCTGCAAGTCACCATAAACCCAGCCTGCACCTGAGAGGGGACGGTCGAGGCATAGGGATGTCCAACCGGCACGCTGCTAAGACGCCACCAGTGCCACGCAGAGAGCAGACCGTGCCTTTTGGGGGGCGGCGGTCCCACCTCCTAAAAGAGAGGGCCTGCTCGTCATCGGTGCCACGTGCGCCACCCGCCAACTAGCACTGCCTCCAGATCCCTGGATTGCCATCCGTCCTCCATAGATGGTACTAAGAGGACACGGAGGACAACTCCTAAGGTGCTCCCATAAGCGGCGCGTACCCACCTCGGGCCGGTCCGTGGGGAGGATGACCATCTCGCTGAGCGCCTGCTTGGCCACCTCCTGTCCCGCGATGTCGCTGAAGAGCACGGGGGGCGCCCCGTCCACCACCTCGTCCAGGATCAGGTGGGCCAGTCGAGAGTCCACCCCCTTCAGCGGTGGCACCCGCGAGGACAGCAAGCTGCGCTGGGACACCGTGGGGGGGCCGCCACGGTGAGCGGCACCGCCGCGAGTTGTCGGCTGGCGTCCCTGCGATCGCGATGAACTATATTGCAAATGCCGGCGCCAGTACAGTGCCAAGTCCGAATTCAAGGGTTGGTGCCGAATCCACGGAGGGAATCTAGCACGCCCCGGCGGAGAGAACCCTTTAAGCCAATGATTTGGGTGTTTGGGGGATAGTACGGCGCCTAGCGATACCTCGGGCAGCCGTTACTAGGTGTGGAGGCCATTTGTGCCACCGCCCTCGTAAGTCGTTTTCCCCGACTTAACCCATTTTCCGATGATTCCCCTAGCAATTCCCCGACTTTTTCAGATGCTCAGAAATTCTCTAACAATTCTAAGCTTTGCAGATTGGTAGACAGCCTGCCTGGGATCTGCTGCAAGACCTCACTGTAATGCTTTTAAGAATCCAAGAAGAAGTAAGGGAAGAGGGGGCGGAGCAAGAGGACTGCGAAGTCCAGATTCCATTTCCGGCTCCCCTGAGAAAACGGACGAGACCGCTCGCTTTGTGTCCGGACCGTGCCCCTTGGAGCTACTCTGGCCCCTTGAAACTGCCCTGGCCCCTTGGAACTGCACTGGCTCCGCTCCAAGGAAGAGTATATCTCTCAAAAGAGACGCCGCAGAGGTTCTTTAAGGTCTCGAAGACTGTCCCAGCCTCACACCGAGGAAGAGCGACAGAACTTCAACTAAGTCCTGGGTTCTGACGGGGTCCTCGCCATAAACCAAACTGTCGACACGCGAGCGGGTCAACTCTCCGGGCCCCAATTGTTTGTCTTAACTTAACGAGACTGAGCCATTTCTTTCGTTTGCCCGTACTATTGAGCTGTAGTAACCGTGTCACGTGCTTGTAGTTTATATATTTACTAGGAGTTTTGAAGCGCTTTCTTTTAACTTGTCTAGTTTTCATAATTAAACGCTTCTCTTTCCTCGTGCATGCGTTGAAAATCTGCTTTCTGTTCTCTCACACCCTCAAAACAACCAGACACCGACCATACAGGAGATGATGGCCGAGCGTGAAATGGACCTATTGCTAAACTACCCACCCAAGCACCGAGGAAAAAGATTCCAAGTAAATAACCAAACTAAGGTGTCAACGAACGCGCAGTAATTACTGCTGTAGACGCCAGCCTGCCGCCAGCCTGTGTGGCGCGTGGACTCACACTCATAGCACGCTCCTCGGTGCTCGGGTTATTTAGTGAAAGGTCTATTGGCGCATCGTGGCTCTGAGCACGTGGAGGGAGAGCTTGCGTCGCAGACCCCGGGTTTGATCCCCACTCCTGCCCGTTTCAATCTGGAGGAGCGTTGTGCTGGTGTGCATCACTGCTACGTGATGCACATTAAAGGGAAACTTCAACGAAATTTGAAATATACCCGTTGTGTTCACAAATCGACTGAATATGATCCACAATTTCCGTAAATGACAATCACACTTTTGTATTTTAAGCCTGATGGCTGAATTTTTCGTTATAAACAGCCCACTCTGGCAGGCGCTCTGCGAGCAGCCAGCGGAGATCACGTCACATCCGGCGCAATCGTGACATAGTTTGTCTCAAGATAAGCAAAGCTGCGGCGAGGCAGACACTGTCGGAATGCCCTAGCCGTTCCAGCCACCAAAGTGGTCCGCAACTAACTGCAAAGCTGCTTTTGTGTGAATTTTGAGTGAAGGGTTAATCTTCTATAATCTTGTAGAGGGAGAATAGCGATGTCTGGGACACACAAAAAAGAGTCCTGTTGAGTGGGGAGTTCCTCCTTCCAGTCTTCTCTCGTGCCGGCCGTCAAGCTGTTAGGATGACATCAGGTTCAAAACATGTATAGTTCTAGGCGAGACAGTTATCGTCATTACCTGTCAAGGTTCCTAGAAGGGCATTACAAACGAGGCTTTCACGACATCCACCAGGTGCTCCTTCGTAATCGTTTAATTTGTTTTAAAATTCTTTTTCATGTATTTTGTAACAAGATATTGGTGTGTCCAATGTGATACTGATCCTTTGAACACGTTTAGACCCAAAAATTAGGGGTGTGCGAATACTCGAATATACGAATTCGAATCGAATACAAAGTTCCCGAATAATTCGATTCGCGAATCGAATTCCTAGTATTCGGTCACTCGAATATTCAATATATTCGGCCAAAGACGCGCGGTCGGCGCGGAGCTGACAAAAAAAGCCGTTTTTCTCCCCGATGTAAGCGCCGCGATATTAGACAAACCATACGAAAAACAGCTCTTGGTTCTACCATTCCACAAAAATCTAATGCACAGGTTAGAAAAAAAAAAGTAAGGAACGCCACAAACTTTATAGCACGCATATTTACTCACTATCATGATACAACCTACCCTTGAATCACAACCGAAACATCCCGTTTGCGCGCTTCCAGAGAGGAATTGTTGGGAGGCCGAAATCCCGAGCCATGCCTAATTCTTTTCACCAAGTAAAGCCCCTCGTTTCAAATTGAAGCACCGATGTAAAACACACTTGGCCGCACTCACAGAAATCGGCGACTGCACGATCACAGAAAGAAAACCATGTTAAACACGGTGATAAAACCAGCCAAGTTATCGTCGTCGTTCGTTTGGAACCTCAAGCTGCAAATTCTGATTCCGAGCGAAACGGAACCGACAAAACGGGAAAATAGTGTGCCTAGATTTGGGAGGGTTTCCAACCGTTCGATAGCTGCGTTTGAATTGCGAACTGCGAGAAGGTGACGCAAAAACGAAAGCGTCGATTGGGATCGGGCAGGCAGGTCAGGGAGAGCAGGCGTCGTGGCCCTTCTGTTTGCTCGCCTTTTTCCTCGCGACAACACAACACATGCGCACTTACGACCAATCTGCACTGGAGTTATCTCCGTGGTTTCAGTTTTGCTTGCTCCCTCTTTTAAATCAAGGTTCTCTAAAACAGGATAGATAGACGGAAAAATGGATGCATGGCGACAGTTGGACAGTGTCTGGCGCCACCTAACCACACTTTTTTTTTTTTTCTTCAGATTATACTTTTTAAGCCTGTCTACTAAGATTTAACACCTATCTGTTTATTTACGTAAAATGAAATCCCGGGTGCCCTTTTTCTTCCTTAAAATGAAAACCAAATATCGCAAAATGCCCCTTTTCTGAGATATGCAAACATTTAAAAAAAAAAAGTTGCGGTGTTAGGTTGGGCTTAAAAAAGGCATGCGTGGCTGTAGCTGTTTTTTTTTTTTTTTTTTTTTGTGACGTTTAGGGAAGATAGATTATATTTGTGCCATCAAATTGGATCTTTAGTGCCCAACATCCAACAGCAACTGATTTTATTTTTTTTTTTTCACCAGAATTTTTTTACATTTTAGCTTTTGTTCGGCACAAGATGCATATTCTGCGACAGGAGCATACTCTGCACATATAATAATCTCATTCGCAGCACACTTTGAAAAATTCCTACAAATAAAAACACTATTCGATATTCGATTCGATATTCGGCTTTTGTTTCTTGATTCGATTCGGTATTCGATTCAAAAACTACTATTCGGTATTCGCACACCCCTACCAAAAATACTAAGTACCAAAATTTCGTTGTAGTATCAAGGGAACTGCGGTCGAAAAGAAAACCAAAATAAATTACCAATATTGCTTTAGTGGCACGAAATATGATCACACCCGAAATATTACGTCAAAGTGAAGAGGCGTACTCCACTAAAACCGATTTCGAAGATGCTACCAGCTGCTCTTAGCGGGCGACAAGCAGGTTACCTTTTAGTCGAGCGACACTGAGCGACGCATACAACAGCACCCCCACGACGTCGCGTCGTGGTGGTGCTGCAGTCGATTCCGCATGTCGCACCGCATACCAGAGCGCCATGGTGATGTCACCGTGGTGCTGACAATCAGTTTTGCCATCTTTCTCGAGCGGATAGTTTTGGTTTTGCCGTCGGCACCAGAGATCAAACCTTGAGCCTCAATATTTATGAAACTTCACGCAATATTGAAAAAAAAATTATACCTCGTAGTTCAGGGACATTGACCGAGCTGAAAACCGCTGTAATTTCAAATTTGGAAATATTAACTGGAGTTGCCCTTACAACATCCCTGGCTATATAAAAGTTGTAAGTATACTCTACAGGCTGAACTTCTTGTCTACATTTTGAACCAGTGTCGCCATACCTCAAAGGCAGATTGACCTTACGCCGTCTAAACACAAATGTCTAATATCGTTTAGGTTTGAACGCTCACCAATGACGGCCGCCCCAGTAAAGAGGTGGCTCAAAAATTTCAAGTGAGCGCGTGTTAAAGGGAAGCTAAAGAGGTTCTTGAAAAAAACGAGTTAGAGGCGAATTTTCGTAGTATTTTTATTGCGTGAATCCGATTATCACGTTCGTTTTTCTTGAAAATGTAACTAAATGTGGGAAAACACGAAAACCCTCCAACCAGTCATTACGTCATCACAGATCTTTCAGCTGCCAAACGCCTGTCTCTCGTGTGGACAGCGCATGCAATTGCAAGCTTGCCAGGTATATTTCCTCGCACCAGCACCAGTTGCGACGTAAATTTTTTACCTTCTTTGAAAATGGCAAGAGTGTGTGTGCATAGCTTTGATAGGCGCTGATGATGCGCGAGGGTGGAGATTCCGAAAACCCTGTACATGACGTCACACTCCGAGAAGGAGGGGCTGCGACGGTGCTTTAAGAAATACTTTCCGCAGCTTCCGTACACCAAATTACAAAAATAATCTCGACATTCGTGATCCTGAAGGCCAAATGAAGACGACTGAAGCCTTTTTTTCTCAAACACGGAACCGCTTCAGTTTTTCTCTAAGCGACGTCCCCCTCACCCTGGGGTGGACGGGCGGCACCTGGGGCTGGGAGGCACGCCGGCGTGCCGTGTTGGGGGTGGGCACCGCCTCGTTGTTGCCGGCCTTGCGGGAGGGAGACCGGGCGCTCATCCGGGGGCAGGGTACGCTGTTGCGTGGGAGTGTCTGGGACCGCGACACCGTGGAAACCCCCACGGGCTGCTGCTGCTGCTGCTGCCTACGGAGGGTCACTGCAGGAGCGAAGGACATGTCTATGATTGAGTTTTTGCTCCCTTTTGTTACACGAGAAGTCAGACCACGGCATCCCTGTAAATTCGCACCCCCCGTCGCGGCTCAGCACAAACCTGTAGGCACCCCCTGCCGCCCGACTGGCATCACTTTATGGGCGATGCGAATGGGTGTCGTTCGAGGAAAGTAAAACGCCGCAAAAGAGACGCAACTGTCGACCATCGCTCCCTTTTACTCAAAGGTGCAAAACTATGAAAGTAGTGGAAACCGAAAGAGACCCGAAGCAGGGCCCCGTGCCCTTGTCTAGCCATTACATACCTCACTGTAGGTGTAAAGAGGGAATTTTGAATTCGAAGAGAATTCCAAGCAACTACATAGTAGTGGTTCTGGCCAAATATATTCGAATTGATTATCGAATAGCTGCTACTCCATTCTCAGTATTTCATTTCCATTTTTCCGTGCCTAAATAAGACTCCGGCTGAACTCCCGAGGGTTGTTCCCAGGCTTACGCATGTGCACCTTCTAAGCTCGGCTAATTTTAACCCAATTATATTTATAAAGTGTACCTCAGAAAGTTTGATTGCCAACAATGAAGTGGCAAGTAAATGACGGGTTTGACCGGAAATTAAACTTGCAGATATGCCCAGTTATACTTAATTGAGGAGACTCGTAAATCTTGTCATATGCAAGTGCCTCTTCGTTGTACTTGAAGTTGGAAAGAAAAAAAAAAAAAGAATGATGAATGCAGGTCATCGGGACAACACTGCCTGGCATATAATTTTGCATAATACCCACATTTCATCCTTATTAGTATTTCACTGGAATGTTTTATTTATTCCGCTCAATGTGCCCACAAACAGCTCGAAGCCTGAATATTGTGCACATATATGTGTGCATTATTACCCAAGGATATGAACGCTCACAATCTTGTTTCTTTCTAAATACACCAGGGACATGCTATGAAGGTCTACTGTTCTCCTAAGCATGCAAAGCGGCAAGGCGAGTTTCAAGGGACTGCGGTGTCGCCTCTGCAGGTGCTGCTTCTCCGCAGTGCACCGGTGCTCGCTAAGAAGCGCACTCAATGGGACTAACCTGTCGCAATCAGCATTTAGAAAATTACAAATATTTATTTATCTATAATATTTTGAAGAAAATACTGAATTGCGTGCAGAACCCTAGCATTGAAGTGTCATTTCTAGACATAAATACTGCACAGTTTGTTTAAAAACAAAATGTTTTCCTTCATTAGCAAACCTTTAAATCACAGCACCAAATTCCCCGGTACCAGACCTCACAAAACCTGGTCTCACGGATATGAATGAAGAAATGGATTTGGGCCACAAACCTTACCTCTTTCCCGACCACGCCCAGAGGCCATCTAAGCGCCGACAAGAAATTAAATTTAGTGCGGAGAATTACATTCCACGATCTCGTGGACAGCCCAAGAACTGTAGTTTCAATTTCAATGTAGGTTTTAGCTTCATCACATGCTGGTGGGCTGTATAAAGTAGTCTTGGGAACAGTGTCTAACATGGCCAACTGCTTACATCAGTCTTCGTAACAAAGATGGCATTGTTTACACGATTCAACTGTATTGCAACATATGTTCTACAAAAACACGAGCTCTAGGGACACTTTAGAAGATGTCATAGGCATTGCTTAACGGACGGTTGTCGGTAAGCATCACTATAGTTTCCAATACTGTCCCCAGACGACGTGCACATTTCGTGCTCCCAACAAGGCGGACAAAAATGCTAAATATGAAGGAACTGCAATCAAGGCTATGACAGAACCAAGGTAGAACACAAAGAAAGCATTCTCTGCTGGGGATGTGAGGAATACTCTCTGTGTTTCACCAATATAACCATCCCTTCATTGAAAAGCACACGTGTTACGGAGGATAACTCTCCGACGAACCAAAACTAGACAATGCCAGTTGGAGTAGACCACCTTTCAAAAGTAATAGCCGTGGGTGTGGAGCACATTTTGTATAATCTGAATTTTTTTTTTTATTTGTCATTTAATTTGGATAGTTGTAGAAGCTTTGGCATTCCGTATATATTCTATTTTCAAGAAATAGAATTTGAATATCCTTTGTCTAGATTATACCGATCTCAGATTCTTTTGAAAGAACAACTTATTGGCCACAATTTGATGTGTCATATTGCTCCATACCAGAGTTGTGTTTGCACGGATCCTTTGAAAACTTCTACTTTTCCCATGGTCAGAAAAGAGTTACACAAGCAGTAACCGTTTAAACAGATGCCCGAGCCCAGTCCCACAGTACGGGAACGACAACGCACTGATTAGCACACTGTGTTTACCAGGGAACAGCGACGAAGGTTAACTACGCCACACCCAAAGATAATGACGAGTTCCGAGCATGCGTTCACAAGGAGCTTCCAAGACATACTTCGGCCAAGCGAGTGCCGGATCAGAAGTCAATCCCCGTCCAACGCTGGCAATCCGCCATTCGTAACGACGGGTAAGAAAGAAGTGCTGCCCAATCCGAAAATTTCACCGTTTCCCACACCGTCGCAGCAAAGACAGCGGCAATGCACAATGCACGGCACGTCGCTTCGCCGTGACGTCGCACGGAAGAACTCGGTACGCACTCCGTGCCTCGACGACAACAAACGTTGCACACTCCAAAAGAACATTTCTGGGAGACGTTATCAAAGGAGAAAGCTTACACTCCGCTCCCGCCAAAGCTAGCGCTCTGGCAGGAGCAGAATGTAAACTTTGCATCTTTTGCTGTTGCGCACTCTCCAGTGCCAGTTTCTGTCTCACCGCTTACTCCAAAGCATGTGCCCGTTCCCCTACCCCTCGTCTATCGCTCTTCCTCACCTCCTTCCCTCTCCCCCCTCTCTCTCCCTCTGTCCAAGCGCGCTCACACAACACTTACTAAATAACACGATTGTACTGCACGACATGCCACGTCACCTACTCGAGGCCAACGTGAGAGGGATGCAGATCGGACGCAAGCACCTTGTCTGTTTGGTCGGGACCCGCGTTCGCTCGGCGAGAGCACAAGTCCACAACTGAAAGCCGACGCGGCACTGGCGCGATGACCTTCATAATTAAGAATTAAAACCTTAAGACAAGGAAACAAAAAGGGGACATAGACACCACAGTCTGAGAATCAGTACAGCATAGGGCTGCCATACAGCAGTCCCGTAACGGAAGGCTGATGCCCTTCCGTTACGGGAGTGCAGACCGAAAAAAGCAGAGAGCAAGCCAAATAAAGACACTCTGCGTTCAAAACGTGCCGGTCCAAACAGCCAAACGCCAAGCCACAACAAAGCCGATCCGACAGACATGCGAGGCGCACCGACCCCCCGTGTTGCTCCTCTGCAGCCGGGGCGACGTTGGGCAGGGCCCTCCCTTGGCCGGCCCATTCTCGGCCATCTTGAGCCAGGACGGGCCCGTGCCGGGCTCGCTGGGCGCGGACGGCGCCGCCTTCTGCCACGCCCTCCTCCTCTGGCCGCGCTGGGCGGGTGCCACGCCCCCGTGCCACGGCAAGTGGTCCCCCAGGTGCTCGATCTTCACCATGCTCTCTGCCGGACATGCGGGCAAGCACAGACGGCCACGAGCCATTGCAGCATGCAGCGTGCCACTACTAGCACTACGAGCCGGTTGGAGTCGCACACTCGCCAACGGCGCAAGAACGGCGAGGAGGTCTTTCGGCGGACTCGCCTCCAATGTGAGCCCTTCAACGACGCTTCAAGGTCTCGCAAACACCGAACGTGCACACGCGTCCAGAGCACGTCGGAAGGCAACGAGCTTGTACCAGAGGTCGGGTGTTCAAAAGATACGTCCCGTCGGTTATTACAAAGGCGGGCAATACAGTAGCGTTCGTATGCGATCAGCTGCGTAGCGACCACTTGCGACGAGACATTGGCACCATCTATCGGGCAGCCCAGAGCCACTAAACAAGCTACGCTACAAAGTAAGGACGCTCCAGTCACCTCTGCACTTAGAATCGTGGTTGCCAGTTATCCGAAGCCTTACCTGAAACTGCGGGAAACGCTTCTTCGTCCTTCTGAAACGTGGAAACAGTCTGCGACCGAGCCGAGCAATATTGCCCTTGCAACCGGACGTCGAATAAAAGGGTCAAGATGCCGCATTTCCGAACAACAATTGTTGTCGATGGCGTCCGCTCTGCACTAGTCACCAAAATAGCAGCGCCTTCGAGATAATCAGGGAATACAGAGTGCCCGTACGCTCTAGGTGAGGCTTATTTAGCGACTTTAGGGTGGACCCAAAACGCTTACGATCGGCGTATGTTTTACGCTAATTTCTGTCAACGTGGGCCTGACATAAGTGTGACGATGTTACGAGCAACCGTATCTTGTGGGCCGAGATTCATCAAACACTCGCATCTTGAGGAAATCCTTCTGGCTCTACCGAAAGCCGAGGAGCCCCTCTTACTGCCGGCACGATGCGGTAAAGCAGTCCCGAAGCATGCACGTGCACCTTGCAAACAATAGCGCGCAAATTAGTGTTTGGTTCATAGTTAAGACGTCGATAGATGGCCCAGATCTGCTGAAAAATGTTTCAACTAGAAAATTCAGTTTACTTTGGGGCAGGGATGGTCTACAAAATTTGGGAGCAGAACCTATGTCATAGACAGCGCACAGATTCAATCTTGCAAGTACTGCGAAACCTTCGGTCTATAGTTATATGCCTGTCTGAATCGTGACAGATGGTGCCAGTGTGCCTGTTCTGTCGGCGTGTTCGATTACAAGTGGCCACAACGCAGTCGACTACACTCGTACGCAAATGTGTGAATCAGGCTTAAGACACCATGCAAACAAGATGCACTTTCGTTCAAAGTTTTTAAGCTGCTGCATCCGCACAAAATTGTGGCGGCCTTTTCATAAACAAAACCCGTGCATCTACTTCCCCTATTGCCGCTCAGAAGCCCAATCAAGGTGAGCTACAGAAATTCGGTAAATGACGACGATTGCATTAGATTGCCTTTTTGCCCAAGAATTTGATCGGCATCTGAGAATGTTACAATCACTAAGCAACTGCACCGCTTTGAGTCCGTACGCTACCTGTCCCTTCGTTTAGTAACTTGCAACTGTTGCTTCTCTGCATGCTCCCTGGGAAAGCAGATGCATCGGCTTTGTACTAATGCGCACCTTGGCACGACGAGTGCCTTGGTTCGGTGAGTTATCATGCAGAATGTGCAAATTATGCCGAGTGCTGCGCTGCTTGAAAACTCGGCGCAACCATCGATCAAACATATATCCTCCCATTAATTTCGGGTTTCTGGTCAATATATCTGCCGACCTTCGTGCATTAATTTTTAAAAAGACTCGAAGCATCCTTATGCTTTTTCAAAGAACACATAATTCAGCATTGCAGGAAAGAAGGTGAAGTCCACCAAACCACTAAACAAAACACCATCCATGAAGGAAGGTTCCAAATCAATCAATCATTTATGGTATATTTGATTAAGCTGCACATAACCCCCGCCTCAGTGACCCTTTCATGAGCCTCATAAATGAGTTTGTTATTAGTGAAAACAAAAAAGATTTCTCAGAGTGCACTCATTTCTTTCAAAACACTTAATTTAACGCAATCTTCAAATTGCTCTGCTCTGAATGCCAATCACAGTATGAACAGCAGACTTGTGAAGCAATTGAAAGACAAGCAATAGTTAGGTTACTCCTTAATAATCAACTGCCATCACAAGAAACCAAAGAGTTATACTGCACAACTTTTGCTCAGGGCAAGTTTATCACTCCTTGAGGTAATAACTTGCATTACAACTGAGTTACTTTGGAAAAATGCAGCCTGTTAAAGAAATAAAACAGCAATAGTTATTTTCACAATCAAATAATCAAGTAAGACAGTGTCTGCATTGGTGCATTGGTGTTGTGTGATTGTCATCAATTCCTTGCTAGTTTAGGAGAGAATAAATGAATACCTCCACCTAAATGGAGTATAATACTAGTAGTGTGCTAATGAAGAGGCCCAACTAGATCTGTCCCAGCAGAGTGGCCCTACCAACTGCACTAAACACGCGTTTGGCGTCAATAGAAAATACAAATGTCAACAGCTGGTGCGCCCTAAACCGAACACATCACAAGGGTGAGCAGCCAACATTAACCTGTGTAAGTAATGATTGAGGGCAAGTCTAATAAGATGAAGTAGATTTGTGAGAAGATAGATGACCTAATTTTCTTACGCTGACCTCTTATATAATGAATCCCCTACGACACTCGCAGTTTAGATGTACGGAATCGTTTTGAACACATTTCCACTACTATTACTCCTAATGTTCTCAATGATGAGTAGATTTCAAAAGTGCATGAAGGCTATTGTTTTGGTATAAATTTTAATATTTTTACGTCCCGATCAATTTTTTTTTTTTTTTCGTTTTAAAGGTTAACTGACAGGTACAGTGCCCCTCAAACTTAACACCGCCACTAGATCGTCCGGTTTATTCACTTGTTGAGCTATTCCTGAACCTAGTGGTCGAACTACTTGGTGAACATTCGCGTCCCCGATGAGAACCCAACCAGGGGAAGGTATTCGAGCAGCTGCAGCGACCAATTAATCTTTGGGTAGCATGCAATAGATCAATATTTGCGTAACCGGGGTGTAACCGAGTGGCGGCGTTAAGTTTGAGGGGCACTGTACATCACTATACATGGCTTGCACGTGAAGTCAGTACGCCCTGCTTTCTGGAGGCCAGAAGTACCTTGTTAATGCAGGGGAGCTACACTCATGCACCCTCTCCTTTATTATGTCTGAACAAGTGACGTCAGTGCAAGCTATGTATGGAGGCGCCAGGCTGTTTGTGGAATACTGAAAAAAAATTTAGTGATTGACTGAGTTATAATGAATAAATGATTGATTGCCTAAACAAATAAATAACTGATAGATTTAATTAAAATAAATGGATGATTGACAAATTGATTCACTGCATGAATATATTTAAAAAAAAAATTGGTGGAATGAATCAATAGCTGATTGATTCAATACAAATGAATGGGTGAGTAACTGATTTACTAAGTGATTGGTTAGTTGAATAAAAATGAATATGTGATTGGTCAGTTGACTGAATGATTGGTTGAATGAACAACTTATTAGTTGAATTAAAATAAATCAATGATTGTTCAATTTATTGAGCTGATTGAATGAATGAGTGATTGGGTAGATGAATGAGTGGGTCCCAACCCACCGAGGAAGTCGAGCCTGTCCCGTGCCATCTCCAGGTTCACCTTCATCTTGTCACTCAGCCTGTGGGCCCTTTCCCACGTCGTACCTGCACACCCGCACATAGACACACTCACGTAGATGCAAGGCAAACATTCTGAATAGCAGATTAGGCGTCCCATCTTAAACCTAGAGGAAAAGATCCGTCATCTTCTGGTGCATTTGCTTTCTTTTACTTTTCTGTCACTCTCGTGTTCTATCTCTTGGCACCACCGATGTCAGTGCTCATATATGGTTTGTAGATGTCCCTTCCCACCTTTATTTGTGCTTCCTGGCAAGACCCAGCTTGAAATCATGGTACCTATAGTGTATCACCTCCACATTTCAAAAGCCACTCTAGTTAAGAGGGCAATTGCTGTTGTATTTACAAGTTAATATTCCCAAATCTATGACAAAACCTTCCCCACAAAATTTCATTGCAATATCCCAACAATAAATCGAAATATTTACAGGTGAAATACTTTCTTTTTTGCCTCCCCTTAAAGTGCTTAGTTACACATACTCCAGGGAGGATGCACAGTTCCTGCCTTTTCCCCAGTTTCTTGCTCACGCACAGACCTTTCAATGTTGTGGGTACAGGTAATATATGATGCTATTACGACAACATCAAATATCAGCACTATGGTGGCAAAGCCATGAAAACTTCAAGTGGAGATTGCCAAATGCTTTAGCCAAAGTAATGAATACAATTGTTTTAACATCTTGAAAACCTGAAACTGGGGAACAATAAAGGGGACCCACACACAGACAGTCCTCAATGTTGTCCCCCTTTTCTGTTCCTAAGTAGGTACCAGGCTTTCAAGATGTTGGAAGATCATCGGTTTGCCTGCATGTCCTCTGTTATTTCTACAATTGTTTTTCTTTTTCTTCTTTTCTTAATGCTTGGTTGCAATCACGAGGATAAAAGACGGTTGCAGTTTGGAGTGATTGGAGCACAAAAATATCTGGAAAGAAAATCTGAACAAAAGTGGGGCAAAGAGCTTGCACAATTTGTCACATATGGTGCAGAGTAAAAAGGACAAGGACAGCAAAAGCAGCATTAGTTTCTGCGTGAAACTTCTTTCAACTAAAACTAGAGGGTTGAGAAAATATGCTTTCCGAGGAAAACTTGGTAGAGCATGTCGGCAGACTATTAAATTAAAATGAGGAATAAAACAAGTAGCGACAACCCCAGTTGTTGAATGCTTTTATTTTCTTAATAAGCATAGTGTTCTTTAAAGGGGGGGTGCAACGATTTCCGGACTTCGGTCAAAGATTTCTGGAAGTTGCCCCCTGACACTTCTGAAGTAAAGAACAGAAGACCGATTTCGCCTGTGTGTCCTAGTTGTTGCGTAAAAAAAAAAAAAAAATATTGGCATTTCGGGCACCCCTTAACTCACTCCCAGTCTTCAAAGTCACACCTGGTCCCGCTCCTGGTGACGTCATTCGGAGTGCCGTGTAGGTTCCCGTGTGCTATCTCGGAGGACGCTTCCTCTCCCTCTCTCTGCTGACATTAGCGGGCGTTATGCTGCAGCTTAGAGCCGAGCGAGGTAACGTAATCTTTTCGCTGTAGTTCCTTCGGCTGCCACTTGGGGCTGCAGTTCGGGGAAAAAGCTCGACTTTCGCTTTGCGATTATGCAGCGGAATTGCGACATTTTTAATGAAGGAGGTGTTTTCTCTATCCTCCGGGACACGATAAACAACGTAAAAATGACGAGATGCAAATTCTTTAAATCATAAAATCGTTGCACTGCCCCTCTAAGAATGCATTCTGAATATATGTATATCATTAGGATCTTGGTCAGCAAAATAACCTTGACTGTGATGACTGAAATTGGTGCGAGATTTGTTACGTCTCACAATTCCTTTTCACAGATAGTTGGGCTGCAGTACTTGTTTCAAGGTAAAATTGGACACTTCCTTTATTTGTTTAATGTTAAGAAAAAGATATAGTATTTATTCACTCAGAATATTTATTGTGGGTCAGCACCTTAACTAAAAAAAAACTTGTTTTGTTTTTGTTTTTTTCTTTTTAAAAAGAGCCAAATCAATATGAAGCGAAACAGAAATAAACAAGAATGTGTGCTTATCGAACTAGCTTTGAGCCCTGTACCGCGGCCCGGCTTTACATTGATTTTTCGAGCATACTATGACTAATTTTAGATTAATATACCTTTTGGAAATAATGGATATACTCCTAATTTGAGCCAAAATTGACTTGATTTTGATTCCTGCATTTGGCACTTTTAGAAAAAAAGAAACTTCTCGCTTGACCATTTGCCATCCTTGAAGGCTCAACTTTTGTAATCCAAAACATAAAAAGAACACCTACAAAACCACTACATTTCGGGGGAAAAAAAAAGAGCATTTTAAAATCAGCTAGGTTATATTATTTAGACAGGAAACATTTCAAAACAAGAATTTAGAAAATGCTGCAGCACCAGTATTGGGACATTAGTAATTACATACTCTGAGTGCCCTGAGTGCTTATATTTGACTTCTAGTGCATTGCAAAAGTACATGCAGTCTCACTTCACTTGGACAACACGGCAACTGCACATCTGTTGTCCAGCTACAATTGTTATATTTGGATTGTAATATTAATGAAACTTCTTGGCTAATTACCACCAGCCAATACAAAGTTTTTTGCTTTCGACGATCGTTGTCCGTCGTCACTGAACCAATGTTCAGTGGCAACAAGATGGTGATAACCAAGAAAGATTGTGGCAAGCAAGTATTTTAGCACATTTCACACAATATGCCTTTTACTTTAGGGTGTTCCAAGTCAGATTGTACAATAATGGTTCGTGACATTTTTTAAAAAAATATTTGTGCAAAAAATGTATATGTGAAAGCCATGTTCTTGGGAGGAGCATTCAGCTCTATATGAACGTCGGAAGCTGGACACTAGGCGAAAAAGTTGGCGAGACTTCAGACGGCCGCGATTGGCCAGCGCCGAGGTCAAGCGCGGCGCCGGCCAATCGCAGCAGTCAGAAATCTCGCCGACAATCTCGCCAAATGCCCAGCTTAGGGCCCCTGCATGCACAGCCCACTACCCTTAAATGCAAACTCCGGACAAGAGGAAGGCCTGTCACAGCAAAAACAAGGCTAGGGAGGCGGTATCTGGAAAGTCGGTATCCTGGTGTTCAACATTGTGTGATGGCAAAGAAAATGGCATACCATGTCTAAATATCGATGCGTACCATACAATGGAATACAAAAAGAAGCTGGTAACTATGAGGATTTTGTTTTTGGGTGTTTCCATGCCAGTTCATACAATGATAGCCCGGGTCGTATTTTGTATATTTCTGTAAAATATATACAACCGTCATCTCCCAAGATACCCCCGAAGGATAACCCACCCCTATTTTTGGAACGATTTGCTCTTCTTTCAAAAACCACTAAAAGATAGCTCTCCTATAGTAACTGCAGGGCTCTGGCTCATGGTGACCTCAGCAGTATTGGAATTACTCAGCCACAGCGGGAGATAAGCAAACATTGGAGGCTGGAAAGGACAGTTTTCTATGCTCCATTGCCCTCAGTGTGAAAACAAGCTTGGTGGGTCACAAGATATGAAAGTAGCATTTTTGAAAGTATTTCTTGCTTACACGCCGAAAGTTTGCCCACTCCTCATTTTCACCCAATTTGTTCTCGCTTTTAGGTGGGCTACCTGTCGTAATATTAAGGAACTACTCTATGAAAGGCATGTTCTTAGGAGAAGCAGTCAGCTATATTCTTATACATTTACAGGGTGTTTCATGAAACGAGGGTCGAATCGTTCTTGTGAAAAGTATGGATCGCACAAAAAAAAGATTGATGTACTATCGGTCCTTGCCAAGGGGCAAATTTACGAAAAGAAAACAGTGTTTGATATAATTAAATTAACAATTTTTAGTAATTAACTTTGTAATCAATCAATTTTAAGGTATCATTTCAATTAGAAACATGATGAGCATCATCGAAAACTGTTAAACCCATACACTTTATAAAGATATGGCGCTTCGAAAACAAAACATTTAATTTGGACGCGTTTTGAAGGGGAGGGGAGGGTGGGAACCCAATGAAACACAAATATAAAGTTAAGCTAAGGACAGCCCTACTTTCTACACTCTACGATAGAGCAGCACCACTATACAGCCTTTGTCGGTTCTAGAAGATGCCTCTGTAAAGCCGACGTCGTGTGGCGAAGCCCCATAACGAAGACACGCTAGCTCAATTTGAGTGAAAGTTTGTTGTCGTTTTTTCCTTTTGGAAGTCATATGTTATCCAATGTTTTGCCATCACAAGTTAGTTTAAAGATATATACTGCAGATGATTAAAAAGATTTTAAAAGTAGTAAAAGATAGAGTATATAGATGTGCAATTCTGCCACATTTAAAAAATCAGCGCCGTGTCTGCTCTAATAACACAACTACAATAATGTCTAAGCATATCTTCTTTATATATTCATAAAATGCATTTAAACCTGCTCGCTTTTATGTACTTTGTGCCATTTTATATAAATGAGTCTGTTGGTTGACGTGTTTCATAGCTTTCTTTCTTTTTTAACAGATATTTTTATTGATCTTTTTTTATATTCTTTGTACATGTTGTAAACCTCACTTTGGTGTGAAATTAACAGCTCTGCGAAGTTTCATAGTGGAACCTTGGCAATCTCCATGCCTCAAGCGCCGGAATTTCATATTTCCGGAAGAAAATTGGCTATAACGTTCAAACATAACTGAATGGAGCATTCAGCTATACTATAAACAACTTATTTTTTGCGAGTACCCAATTTTTGCGAATTTCGCAAATCACCTACAATTTGCGAAAAATAGGTCCCGCAAACAATTCCTGTAATATTTAAACACTTTGGAATCTATATTGAAATCCCACCGCATTGCAGAAATTAGAACTTTCAGCTTTGGTCTAAATCTCGAAATATTGAGCGTGCAAAAGATAAGTTGTTTGCAGTATTTGAACGTTGTAGCTAAGAGCATTGCTTTCACATATATTTTTTACACAAAAAAAAAATATATGACCCAGAGCATCTATGTGTTATGATCAGACGTGGAAACACCATTTAGTACTTGAAATGAAAAACCTATCAGATAATACTTCATACTTCAGTCCTAAGTACCTTTACATCTAGAGTCAACACAAGCTTATTCCTGATGCAAAGAAACGGATTTCAGAACAAAGTACTATAAGGAAGAAACACAAAAAAAAGTTATTCTTGAAAGCAATTGGTATTAAATAAGTAATTATTTATGCTGCTCTTTGAGTATAACTTAAGGAAGCTTTAAAAAAGAAAGATTTTAGTTTACCTTGACCCTTGGAGAAGTCAATGGCAATCCCCTTCTGGAGTTCTTCAATGCCCTTGCGGTACAAGTCGATCGACATCTCCTTGAAGTCTGCAGGGGGAGGACCAACACCGAGTGAGTATGCTGCCTGTAGATAGTATCTAGTTCACACAACATTTTACTCAATTATTTACAGTTGTGCAAACAACATTAATATAACTAGCGTCGCCAAGTTCAAGACTCTAGGGTGTCTAAATGTGACATACTTTTTGTGCCCCTCGTGCCACACCCTGCCAAGTTTTGTGACACGTCATCGCATTCAATCATCACTAAGCATTGCAAGTACTCCCGTATTTGCCAGTGTATAAGCCTGTTTGTGCACCTTATACAGCAGTGGAACTTATATGTGTTTTTTTTTATAAGTATGGACCTGAACTGAGGAAGATGGGGGCCGTATTGACATTTACGACAAACGAGGAACGACAGAACACCCGCCGATGGCCTGTTCTCTGGCGATGAGAAGCGTGGCAGCCTACACTGTTCATATGTCATTCATTTTAAGCTAGGGGTTCAAAAGTCGACTGTTCCGGGCAATGTCCTCCCTTAAAAGACCAAAGGCATTACTTACGGATGTGCTACAAACCCAAAAGAACACAGAATACTAGCATGAACTTGTCAAAACACAATAAAATAATTATACCACATGACTCGCTACCTCTAAATGGAAAAGAATAGGATTAAGTGATGAAAACAATAGATTCGGGAAGGTTGTTCCATGCAAGAATCGTGTCGGGGAAGACAAGAATTAGTAACATGGTGAATAGTACAGTGCACAAAAGACAAGGACAGAGAAAAGGAATGTACAAAATCTATGAAAAGAAAAGAAGAAATCCATGGTGGGCGGTCATCTCCTCGTTCATTGCAACACCTGCTCATGTTCTACAATCTTTAACAGCACAACAATAATTCGATGTTATCAAGACGACTCATGAAATTTTGGAAGCACATTGCATCAATAGTTTGGGGGACCGCTGCGTTAGCCACCCCTCAGGCACACTGCTTCAACCAAAACTTTGTTTTTAGATAGGACTACGGGGCAAAGTTAGATGGTGTTGTGTGATGTGCGTCACGCTCTGGCATAGAGTGACTTTCAATATGTCCTCTTCTTCCTTTTGTGTATAAATTCGGTTGCAAGTCAGAGCTAGTGCGTCGTGCATGTTTCTTTTCTCTGGCCTCATCTTTTACGTGCATTATACTCTTCACCATGTCATTATACCAACTTGCCCAGCTTATCACACTTTTGCGGGAGTTGGTAAAAGTGAGGCATTTGTCTCGGGGACACTTTGAACTATGACTGTGGTTGATTAGCGATGATGACGATCTACACAAATTAGGTTGTGCGGCATAAAGAGAATAAGAGACGTAATAAAATTTATGGGGAAGACATGGTCGTGCGAGGCTATGCCAGATTTGTAAAAAAAAGCAATACCAAGTGAAGATTTGAGCGCTGACATGCTGATAGCATAAGGGTATAACAATGTTACGAAATAATCTGCCCTAATTCAAGTTGGGACATTGTGCGGTACAAAAAACAATCATTGGCAAAAAGGCAAAACACAATCGTCATTGAATGGTCTGATGTCACCACCCTAAAACAGACGGATACGCACTAAGGCATCCTAGTCTGTCCAGGTGGGAGAACACCTGCCCTTTTGTTGCTGAGGGAGGTGGCATCATAGAGGGCCAGCTGTTCTGTCGAGGGGGGTGATGTCAGAGGGCCTCTTGCATGACGCGGTGTGGTAATGAGGGGCAATGCACCCTGATCTCTGACAATTTGCTCCCCGACCGCGACTGTGCGACGTGGAAAGATGGCTCAACTTCCGGTGGCAGCATTCATGCTGCAGCAACATTAGCAGCGATGCACAATCTAGCAAATCGTCATAGAGATTGGCGTAACACCAGTGCAACGTGAATGGACCATCTGTGTTCTTGTTCGTTAATTTAGCAAAAGAGGTCCAAGGTCAAACCTAACGCCTCGCTGCATAATGTCCAGCGAAACTTGTCAAGTCCAAGCCATATAACACATTCCGTGTTAAAAATAGAAACTCGAGTAACCCTCAGTCAACTGCCGTGAACAGGAGGCCACTGTGTATGTGATAAAATGGGTGCCAGGACTTTAAAGAAGAAGGGCACCAGACACTTGCACAGCTGTAAACATTAGTTTCTCCTACAGTTTGCCCATTCCACAAGATTAACCATTCAGAATGGTGGGGATAATGGGGATTTGGGTAATTGGCATGTGCAGTTTCAAGCTACCGGTAGTGCCCAAAACGGAAAGCTTAACAGTGCACACATTCAAATCGGGGGTAAGCGAGTGCTAGCTCCAATTCATAAAGCTAGAGGTGCACAATTACAGGTGCACAACCCCATAACTGCTACGCGAGAGCGCACACTTCTGAAAAAGGATTCATTTTGCGCAAAATGACGAGACCAACATCTCTTCAGAAAATCGAGCATGCAAGCACTACTGCACCCCACCAAAACTTCACTTTCCGCTGATATCCTGTGAGAGTAGGTTGTGGCATTCACTCTAACTCAGTGTACTCTTTGTCATGCCCAAGCCATACATACATTTAGATTCCCTCTTGCCAGATACACGGCACCAATGGTACGACAGGTTTGTTTCCGAGTCAATTTTCGAAGCAATGCACTATCTACCCGAATCAGAACCGGGTAAATATTCTCCCACAAACCTCGCCATGTGCAACAACCATAAAAACTAAAATGTGATAGTCGCGCATGAATATTTAAGCAAACCAAAGAAATTTGTGTAAAAACTTGCCACATACATTGTGCAACACAATGAGAACCCACATCAACGGTTGCTCGCAGTTTTCTTCGAAAGGGCATTGGTGGGCAAGATTCTAACGCCTAGGTTAGTGTCCTAAATGAGTACTTTCCATCATATTAGTAGTTTTGACAGCGGCTTAGAAAAACTAAGATTCTAAAATATTCTAGGAGGAGAACAGAAGACACTGGCTGTCGTTTATATACGCTAACAGTGCCGCACCATGCGTACCGCATGACACGGCTCAAGCACAGTACCTGCGCTTCTTTGTATTTTATTCGGGTAGGGTATTGAGGAGCTGAAATATTTCAGCTTAAGGTTGGTTCCCAAGATGAGCACTTTACGTAGTGCGAGAGTTTGTTTTACGACATTCTTTCGATTACAAGAGAAAAACAAAAAAAATACTGGTCATCACTCATAAGCAGTAATTGTGTTACGCTATGCACACCCGGTACATCTCCCCGTCCCCCGTGTGAGCAAAGTCCTCGACCTATGCCACAAACGAGGTGCCACGCCCACCCGCCGTGTGTGTCCTATACCCACATGTTCGGCGTGCGAGATCGCGGCTTCCCAATCTATGAAGCCGGGCAGTGACGGCAGCATAAAGACTGCCGAGTGACCCGCAGAAAGTGGGTCGCAAGTGGGCTCTGAAAAGGTAAGGCCTCCGGTTTCTCCCTTCCCCCGTGTTCTTTCCACGCTCAATCGCCCGAGTCCAATCGAACCGCAAGGGCTTCCAAGGACCTCTCTATCTGGGCGTGTAAAAAGAACACAACAGATGGGGGCAAAATAGAAAACTGCTCGTGTTTGCTTATTTCAACACTGGTGAAATCTATTGGTCTGTTGGGCAGCCCCGGAGCACTTTTCAATCTGCCTTAAATTTATGCATCATTCTTTTACCGTGTGCTTTGAGCAATTCTGACGATGTTATAAGTGGCCACATCTCATAGTTAATGCATACATTTCATCTCACAAATACTGCAAAACCTTCAATCTATATATATGTAGGTTGGATGGGGTCCTGGGCTACATGATACATGCGTGCCACTGTACTCTGATGTCGTCGGCAGTTACAAGCAGTCAACACAGTTAATCAGACTCCAACACAAATGCATAAAGCAGCCTTTACTCGCAGCTCATAATTTACCCACACCTCGTACACGACTGAAAAGTATAGCACCCCCAGTTCACTCATGTGCACTACGAGCCCCAGGCGCTAATGTCAGACAGCTAGAGCTACTATCCTCTTTCCTTTAAAAAAATGTTACCGGAAAAACATGGTCGTGTAACTTAGCTACAAATAGAAGTTCTGGTTGCTGACAGAGATGCAAACTAGGGGCTTGTTAAAGCGAGAGCGGGATGTTTATTACAATCCCTCTTTCCCCCCAATGTCTCCATATATGGAAAGCCTCCCACACTTCCCTTGCCTTCTGCTCAATTAATCTGCGCAAGGTTTTTGTGTTACTAAACATGTGGGAACACTTGCGCCTGCTACAGTGTACTGCCAAGTGGCCCGAGAGAGTAGAATATGTAGAAGCAATACCAACTGGAACAAATTTCCACCCTTCGACCTCTTCATAGTCGTGATGCAACGGTCTTGTAATACATACTTGTTCAAACATAAAATGAGGTTTCGGGAGGAGCCTTTTTCTTTTGTCAATAAGTCAGCAAGTTTTGTAATGTACTACGAGGTTACAATTGCCAAAGCGATGCACATAGCAGATATCTACCAGGAAGGCACTGGAAAAGTCTATAGACTTCCCCGGAAGGGGGAAAAATAAGCTACTCCTAGACAGACTGAGTTCTAAAAATCTGTTTTACGAGAGAAAGGCACTCTCTCGACTGTTTGTAGAACTTAAGACATTTTTGCATAATATCCTACTCCATCCCTGACTTGTTCATTCTTCTTTTTGTTCTTCATTTTGTTTCTTCATTTTTGTACCGTTTATTTGCTGACTTCCGACCCCACCCTAGGAACTGTTGCAGGATAATGCAAAGCATTTTCACCGATGAAGAGTACATTTTGACGATAAAAGTAGCAAAACACTTACGAAGACAAACTTGACCAACGAAGGCGAGACAGGTGATTTCATTTGGTAACGGCGGCATGTCCGACAGAACTGCACTAGTACACCTATGCCTCCCTTTAGATACCCTAGGGCCTAGGCCGATCCTTTCATACCAGTACACTAGATCAGACTAGAAAGCCCCAGGTTCCATGACGAAGTATAAAGGCAGCCTCCACTGCCAGACATGAGACGCGAGC